TCTTAATATATCTGTAGTGGGGACTTGGCATAAACCTAAACCTAAGGACTTGCTTTGGGGAACTGGAGGACTTAAAGACTGGAGAACCACAGCATGGATGAACATCCAGTGTTGACTTTTTCCATTGGTTGTTTAGCTGGGAAGGTTTGCCCCTTTAAAATGATCTGACTCAGCAATTCAGGGGGATTCTGCTGTATTCTGTAGGAGAGCAAAAGATTTCCTCTATCATATCCTGTCTCCTAAAGGCCGCCTAAGATCATAGAAGTTCATCACCAGAATGTTGCCATCAGGTCATGATTTTTTTCTCTTTGAGTTACAGTAACTTATAAAACATCTACTGAGGTATGAAAGGTTGTGATCCATTAGTGAAAGAAGCATAAAATCACAGGTCTTTTAAAAAGGGAAAAGGAACAGAGGAAAGGTAGCTTGGAGCATTGACCTGCTTCTGGAGAGTGCTGAGCTGGGCAAGGCAACATGGTGTGGGGAGAGTTGAGGTGAGGCTTTTATTCATCAAAGGGCAGTAGAAAAAAGGTACCAGGATTTGGGGATGAGAGGTTTGAGAAAGAGATGGTTTGGAGTCTAAGGTAGGTTTCGTCTATTATGGCAGTTAGGTGAAGTACTGGATAGGGTGATGGACTTAAAGTTAGGAACCAGCCTTTGAATCCTGCTTCAGACACTTGCTAGCAATGCAACTCTGGGCAAGTCATTTAAACTCTCTGTTTCCTTACTTTAAAATGTGGATAATAGCCCACAACTCACAGGATTGTAGTAAAGATTGAAAGAGATAATATATGTAAGCACTTTCAAACCTCAAAGTGCCATATAAAGGCTAGTTATTACTACCCAGATTTTACTTGGACCCTAGTGATGGAAATCACTACATTTTAACATTTGAGATGATTCTCAGTAGGGCCTTTAGCATGCTTCTATAGACCTACATCACCTGGTAGTAAATTGGACACATGGGGGAAAAAAAAGCATGAGCTATGAGACAATGGTCTGTAAATTCATCTAATTAAATACTCATTGAAAATCTGTGAGACATAATCAAGACCTGTAGAAAAAAAGTACTATTCATCAGAAATACATTTAATATCCAATGTACTAAGTTTGTTTTCATAATGAAGAATTAAAGAATATATCTTGAAGTATTATTAGCTCAATGCCAAATCATTTAAAAATAACCAATTGCTGCAAAAGGTTATGTTGTAGATTAAAAGTTATTTAGAGATGTAAAAAGGTGTAAGGTTCACTGCATAAGTCAATAAATTTAATTATTTTACTTTGTCTCAGTTAATTCACACAATAATATACTTTCTGACTTACATGTCAGCACCACTTCCCCTCCTGCTTTCAAGCTCCTGGAAATATTGCCAAAATGCCTGGTTTCCTTAGCAAGGAAGGTGAGGGGTGGTGGAATCAGAGGGAGGCATAAATAAGCTGCCAAAGCAATAGAGCTGAAGTCCTGCCAAATGTACGTGCATAATGAGTAAATAACTTCTCTATGGGTTCCTAACCTTCCTACCTTTACACAAACCCAAAATCAATGGGTTCTGGGCAGCTTAAGAAATAGCACTTATTGAAAGACAAGAATTTGCAATCCTGGGTGACCAAAGAAAACTCTACCCACCTACTATGCTGAGCAATCTGCACTCTGTCATGCACAGCAATTGTCTGGCCAGATTTAACCTCTGTGTTTTTGTTTGTTGCAGTCATGGATGTATTTCTAAAATTAATAGGAAAGAGGCAAGGGATGGCAGAGGTGGTCCATATGAGTATTAGGCGAATATGGCTTTGGGTTAGAACCTGGAGCTGTCCAGCTAAATTCAATGTCATCAACCTTATTGTACAGCAGCACTTTTCTCCCCAATTTCCTGATTGTTTTTCCTCTTGTCAAGGACCTTGTCTAGAATGCAGAATTATTCCCAAACTGAGTGCAGACTATGATGTCACCTCAACTTGGTTCCTCTTTTTTTTTTTTTCATTTGCCTCCCAAGAGCTACTGCTGCCTTACTTTATCCCTGGAGAGGCCCCTAACACCCACACAAATTTATTTCCCTGGGTTGGCAAATCTTCTGAGACTATAGAAAATGATGCTTATACATTAATTACTCTAAAATTCCATATGTTGCTATCTTTTGGCTTTTAAGTCTCATCTATACTAAAGTCTCTGGTAATTGGACTTTGAAGTGGTCACTAATTTCTGACTTTAGAGTTAGATATTTGCCAAATCAAATAAGGCTAATGGACTTATGCAATGAAGAGTCTGGAGTTACTTTCAAACTGAATTTTAGGTTCTATTTCTGGAAAAGCTTTGATCAAATGCACCTTAAAGTTGTTGAGATAACAGTGTCCGTTGTTTGAACTTTAAATGTCTGTAATGCTGCATAAATAAAGAATTTTTGATATCTGAATATCTTGGGGAATGTTAGAAGAGAGTCAAGAGCTTTTGTTTCTCTATCAGTATCATTATAGATTATTAAACTCCAGAGCATCCATTTGCCCATCAGTCTGATAACCCAATGTCACTGAAGATCCGCTACTCATTACAACATCAGGGACTGTCTTGACTTTTTTTCTCTTCTCTGAGTCAGCTGAGCCATCACAGCCATCATCCAGGGAGACAACTCCAATGGAGAAGGTTATAGCCATCTCCTCCAACTACTATCCAATTGCCACACACAAAACAGGTAGCCAACCTCACTGAAGCAGCAATGTACCTTGAGTGAGAGAAAGGAGGCAGTGCATGCCATGAAAATTAAACCACCATTGCCACCGCCACCACCAGCACCAGCACCTTGACCATTCTTTCTCCTCAAACCCTGATGAAAACAGCCTAGGATTCTGAACACAAGAGCCTTAGAAATAGCAACACTCCCAAACCATCAAGTTTGCTCTCAGCCCACCCCCTACAGGGGAGAAATTATTGTGTGGAAGAGGTCCACCTTTCTCATCACCACTACTACTGACTGCTAACCAAATACCACCAAGAGCACTAGGAATGGCAGTGCTCCCCAGACCATGAAACCTGTTACTAGCTCAGCTATCGCAGTCATCATCTAGGGGAGAAAATCCTATGGAGAAAGTTCCAGGCATCTCCACCAGCTGTCAGAAACCTACCACTCGAGGGTGGGTAAACCTGTGTAGCTGAAGCAACAAAGGAGGGGGAGGGAGGGAGAGAGAGAGAGAGAGAGAGAGAGAGAGAGAGAGAGAGAGAAGAGAGAAGAGAGAGAGAGAGAGAGAGAAGAGAGAGAAGGAGAAGAAGAAGAAGAAGAAGAAGAAGAAGAAGAAGAAGAAGAAGAAGAAGAAGAAGAAGAAGAAGGAGAAGGAGAAGGAGAAGGAGAAGGAGGAGGAGGAGGAAGAGGAAGGAGAGAAGGAGGAGGAGGAGGAGGAGGAAGAGGAGGAAGAGGCAGCATGGACAAATAAGTGATATATCATCACCACTTTGACTGCCATCTCTGCTCAGACACTAACGGAGACAGCTCAGGTTTCTGAGCCTTAGGCATAGCAATCCAGTCTAAAGCTTTCAGCCGTCATTCTGGGAAGCAACCCCCATAGAAATATAGTCTGGTCACTGCTCCTATAGAGGCTATGGCCATAGCTGCTGAAGACCCCCTGAAAAGAAAGTTCTTGCAACCACAGTCTTCGGCACTATTGAATTACTATTCATCTAAAACTGATAATCATTTTATCAGTGAAAATGACTTTTAAAAAAAAGGTATCACTATCTGCTCTGCCTTTGTACCCTAAGGACAATGGGGCTTTTCCATCTGACTTGTAGCCAAAATCTTCCATATGTATTTTCTCTTCCTTTAGAATGTAAACTGCTGGAGAGCAGAAACTGTCATACTATTCTCATTATATCCCCACTGCTTAGCACAGTGCTTCACGTTTAGAAAATGGTTAGTAAATACTAATTTTCAATGAAGGAAGTAATTTCATTCCTTAATAACATCATATTGTGAAAGGAATCCAGCTCATCTAAAAATATTTCTTTTTGAAAATACATTGGGGCAGCTAGGTGACACAATGGATACAGCACTGGCCCTGGAATCAGGAAGGCCTGAGTTCAAACCCAGCCTTAGACACTTACTAGCTGTATGATCCTGGGCAAGTCACTTAACCCTGATTGTCTCCCCAGAAAAGAAAAGTACGTTGTATTTGTGGGCAAGGTAATGCTTTGTTTCTCAACCAACATCTTTCACAAGCATACTAGCTTTACTATTCAGACTTATAAGGGCAGTCCTCTGTCTCTATGTACACGTTGGGCATTATTGGTAGTTTGGTTAGCAGTGGTGACCAACTCATTCTTCCCTTTGCTTGGGGCTCAGCTCAGATGAAGGAGAGAATCAGGCAGTTAAGAGGAAAAGGTGTCTTACCCTCCCCAACCAGTCAATATTTGTTCCCCATAATTGAAGGGAGATACTAGCTTGATATATTTATTCAGTTTTTAAGTAAGCATTTCTCAACCAAATTTCTTGAGGAAGAGCAGAACCCTCCAGGTGTTAAAATCCTTCAAAAGTTTAAGACAGAGAAGTGACCAGAATATAATAAGCCTGACTACTAACTCTGAAGGGACATTATTAAATCTTTTAGCCCTCCCTCTCCATCCCCTAATTTAGAAATCTTCTTAAGATGTTTGTTTTATCTTCTGAAATTATGAATTTTTAAAAATATCTTATTATAAAACTACAATTTTTTTCATTTTTAAAACCAGGACTTGAAACCTATAAATTGGTGATAGTGTCTATCTAATTTATAGAACAGTCAATGCAAGGACTTCATAATGCCAGCATTGAGATTTCTCTTGGACTGTGAAAGTTTGTGATTTAAAAAAAAATCTTGGCATGAGAACAGAATACCACTCACATATTCCCTAAGGCAAAAGAATTCTCAGTATCTAAGAGCTGAGCTGTGCAGCTGGTTCTAACTTCACACAAAGATATTGTGGGTGGAGCAGTTATTTGATCCATATCAAGCTATTGGGGCCAGAAGTCAATTATCCTGTCCACAAAATTTCACCTCCACAATTGAACATAGAGCAACAAGAGTGTGGAGAGTTTGGAAGCAGCCTTTTTTGAATGCTGTGATACTTTAGAGTGAGGGAAGACTGAAAGGCCTCCAACATTGTAGGCAAAAGAAAAGAAATTGATCATACCATTCTTCATTGTTCAACTACCATGTCTCGCCCAGGAAACAGAAGACCAGAATGCCATAAAATAGTAAGATTTTTCTAAACATATCCATATGTTTAACTTAATGTTTTCTATTTCCAAGAATAGAGTTTCTTGAACTCGACCTCAGTTTGCAGGGATGATTAAAAAAAAAAGTTGTTCCATGGAGTACTAGTAATTGAAATTGCTCATCTATCAACAGATATCTTAGTGAAATTGTATGTATGACACCTTTGGGGATATTTATAATTATGGTGAAACATTAAAACTACTCCAAGGGAGTGATAGATCTCATAAAACATTTTGGGGATGCATTTTTCTGTCTAATTAGAGCCATCCTAAGAGGGACTGTGAAATAATCACTAAGGCAAGTTTATTTTACTTGTAACTCTATAATTATAATATAATTAATGAGTTGTTTGATAATGCTGTATTAATTAGGTAATGAATGTGTGCATATATTGTATGTAATATACATATATGTTTCTTAGAAAATTGCTCTAAATTCAGAGTCATTTAAAAGAAAATCTTGGGCTTTTTTAATAGGCTGTGGTGGTGGTGATGGAACTATTACTTCATATTTCTTACTCCAGTGCTGCAATTTTAGGTATAGAGATTTCAGAGATTTAAAAGCTCATTTTAGATTAATAATCCCCCAACTTACACTGCCAGTAGCTGCTGGCCATTGAATCAGATGATAGCAATTTAATCAATTTTAACAGGTGACACTTAGGATTGCTGTTGCAGACTCTAAGATGGCTGTTGAAAATACTTGCAGAGCCTGTTATGATGCCAAATGAGGCTTATACCTATTTTATGCAGCATTCAAAAGGTTTTTTTAAAAAATACAACAATAATACTTTTGGTTGTGAATGTCATTAAGTTGCTTGATGGTATCTCTTAATTGAATGTGACTTAAAATAACTTTTTCCCTAAGATACCCAAAGCATATCAGAGAACCATCAATAATGACGATAATATGTTGTCTTCCATTTGTGAAGATGATAACAAGTAGCATTTATATATTTATATGGCTTAAAAACTGCTTTACAAATATTATCTCATTTTATCCTCACAACAATCTTGAGAGGTAGGTGCTAATATTATTCCCAATTTTACATATGAGGCAGATACAGGTTAACTGCTCTGGGTCACACAACTGTTGTCCAAAGTCGGATTTGAACTCAGGTTTCCCTGAATTCAGGTCCAACAGTCTTATCCACTATGCAGCTGCTGAAGATGAAACTACTGTCCAGTGGGGAATGTGTTTTGAGGAGTTTTCAAAGGAGTAGGATTGAATTTGTTGCCGAGCAATCTTTCTGGTCTCTGTTATGCCCAACAGTGTTTGCTCATTTGTCAAAACAGGCTATAACTCAGGGTATGCTTTATAATCAAGGGACAGAATGAAAACTAACTAAATTTAGATTGAACCTGCAATCTTGGCATCATTGCTGTTATTTTCTAATCTACTGATGATTTAAAACTATTCATAAAATATGGTTACATTACACTTAAGGCTGATCTAATTTACTGCATTTATTTCTCATTGCTGATTTTCCTTTTCAATTGCATATGAAACAAACTGAGAATTACACAGTGCTAGAATCATTGTCATTCATTCTTTACATGAAGCATCAGTTTTGAGCCTCTGCTAAGCAGAAGCTCTCCATCCCTGAATTTTGCCCATCCCAAGTGAGCATTCCAAGAACTTCCAGAATTTTTTATAAGGAGCTTCCTTCCTCATTGTCTCTTAAATACCCTTGGAATGCATACGTTTGTGGTCCCCAAGCCATGCATGGGCTGCTTAGACAGAAGCTATGCCTAGGTGTATTATGGTTAAGCGAGAAAGGGTCACTTTATATAGGGATGTTACAAGGAATAGCATAGAAGAAGCCAGTGTAACAGAGTAGAATCTAAAATTCTGCCTACATCAGGGAACAAAGATATTTCTGAAGTCAGTCCCCCAAAAGTGAAAAATTTGATTGAGATGTATAGTTAACTTGCTAATGTGGTTCCATAAACAGTCTCTCATTTTGCCAGGAGTTAAAGCCCAAGTTTGTGCTTTTTTTTTTTTAAAGGAATGGAATGAAACCTAAAAGGTTAAAATATATGTATGAGTGTATATATGTATATATAGTGCATATATATACACATAATACTTATATAAAATATATTCACATTTGTATTATATATACACACATGTATATCTGTATATATTATATATACATTTATATGTATATATAATTAGCCACAGAATAAAACCAAACTCTAATTATTAATTAGGGTTTGAGAAAATGTTTCAACTTCATATAAATTATAAATTGGCAGAAAGCTAAAGCCAAGTTATGTGGGTACGAATTGAATGTTTGTCCAATCCTTTTCCTTGCATATTGTTACACATTACTTTTCCTTGGCTATTAGCAGCAACATAAAACTATGCAGTATTTGGTCGTTTTTTACTTCCTTCACTTTTGCTTCTTTTTATGTTGTAGGATTGGCATTTACCAGCAATTTCATCCTCTGCTTCAGCACATTCCATGGTAGGCAGAACATTTTGTTTCCAGTTTCAAAACATTTTTTGTCTTTTATGATGGGTTGCACTGCAGGCCTCAGTGGCCAGAACCCACTCCCTGCTATGGCTTGGCAGAGCCCCAGGCTAATCCATTTGTTTCAGTTGGAAATTTTTTCACTGTTACATCTGGATCATGGCTATTCCACATTTTAAATATTTTAAGTATATTCATTGTACTGAATTGTCTCATTAGTGAGAAAACATAGTGTAGTGGCTAGAGAGCTGACCTCAAATCCAAGAAAACTTGGGCTCATAGTCCTACCTCTGACATATGCTCACTGTTTGACCCTGGACAAATCATTTAACCTCTAAGCATTCTGGGTAGCTCTTTAACAAGACCAGCTGCAGAGAAAGAGTAAATTTGCACTACCAGAACGAAGTTCCCCTCATCTGGGAGTTTTGTTCAATTTCCCTGTGTCATAAGAGAAAATAATAACAGCTCACATTTATATGATTTTAGATGGTTTGCAAAGTACTTTTCCTCACAACTAGGTAGGTAGTATAATTATTATCAGCAGTATTCCCATTTTATAAATGAGGAAACTGAAGCTCAGAGAGGTTAGGTAGCTTGCCTCATTTAGTGGCTGAGCCAGATAACCTTAAGTCAAGATTTCTTTCCCATTATGTCAGGCCAATGGCAGAACCAAAACAGAGAAATGACTTGATGGTGGATTGAGCTTCCATATCACATATTCTGAGCATGACTCCACTAATAATGCTCACATTTGCATAATACTTTGAGATTTACAAAATTCTTCCATTACAACAATTTTGTGTGGTCATTATGTCAATACATTCAAAGATTTGTGGCTTTTACCAGTATGGGAATTCCCTGCACCAATGCAGATAGCAATTCTTAGAAGAGTTCTAATTTGGAACAATGTAGAAGTCGTAGGAGGTTTTCTAAGGCTCAGAGAAATTAAGTGACTTGCTTATAGTCATGTGATTATTTAGGGTCAGAGATGGAATTTGAAACCAGGTTTTCTTGCCTACAGAGCCATAAAGAATTTTGACACCTGGGGCAAATTCATTAGAGATGAAGAGGTTTTAAGACTGGACTGTTAACTGTGTATGTGGGTAAGGTCAATTGGAAAGAGAAATCATGGGAGATAAGGAAGACAAGGAACTAGAAGATAATTGTATTTGAATGCAAATAGGGATTGGGGTGGAGAAAACAGTGAATCAGTTATTGAACTTCCTTCAGAAGTGAGAATGAATTTGAGGTTCATAGATGACTATAATGAGAATATGAACAAGATGGAGTAAACAATAAAGCAAGAGATATTATTGTTGAGTGATGGTGGCAGGGAAAATCTGAAAGTGGCCATGAAAAGCAAGGCCAATTACACCTCCTGATTGTTTGCTGGGGGTCTGGGAGAAGGAGCAGCCATCTTTGGAGAGGGAACCAAGCAATTTGGCATCCTGGGAAGAAAGTTAGATTTTGGTGAGCACTGGAAAATGGAAGAAATCTAGAATGAATGGGAACTGGTTAGCAATAGGGAAGAATTCCAGAGGGCGTAGTGGAAAAGGAGAGAGAAAGAGAATTGGGTGTAAGGAGGCTTAGTGTTGAATTTATGATGGGAAGCAGGCAGTCAGCTTTGGGTTCTTGAATTAATCTCATGCTAAATTCAGGTCTCCCATATGGCATGAATCTCCAGGCCAGCTGGCTCCTCAGGGATAGTCAGCCCATGTGGGAGAAGGACATGATGGCCATAAAACCCTGGTGGGTGGTCAAGGGACAGGATAAGAAAGCCAGAAATTACAGGAGGTGGAAGATCCCTCCCTACCTCCCAAATGTCAGCTCTTGGGACAAAAGCCTTGGCCACCCATACAAATTCTAATTCTGATTCCAAGTCTACTACTTAGAATCTACAAGCTCTATCTACTATATTAAACTACTCTGTATATTAAGTAATACACACTGAGAATTAAATAATTCTGTGAATTAAGTAATGAAATTCTTCCCATCTTACAGGTGAGAAAACTGAGCCTCAGAAAGTTGTGTGACTTGTTCATAACTAGGATCATAGAATTAGAGGTCCAGAGCTGGAAAGAACATCAGAGGGCCTCTAATCCAACCCTTTCATTTTACAAATAAGGTTTTTACAAAGAGATTAAATGATTTGCCAGGGTTACCTGGCTAGTAAGTGTAATGGAAGACTGGTCAATAGAGTCCAAGTCCTTCAAGCATGTACAATCTGCTCTGCCTGGTGCCAACCCACATAAATGCTTGGGGAGCCAGCTTTTGAAAATGCTTGATAATATACGATGGAGGGGCCCTGTGCTCAATTCAAAATTTTAAAAACTATTTCTCTGAGATCACATCTCTACTTTTGTAATAGAAATCAATGGTAAGATATGCTTTGATTTATCTTCCCCCCCAAAAAAAATTATTAGTTTTTTATGTCCTCAGGAAGGCTTATTCCTATATGTGTCTCTCAATGGTTACTCAAAAATAAAGCATCTGGATAGTCTGTGATTTTTTTAAGGGTAGGGAACTGCTGTGGGACCTCCCCCCACTAACCAGATCATAACCCATCTGTGACTTAGTAGGGAGTTATCTGAGTTTCAAAGAACTGAAGTGACTTGCTCCAGGTCACAAGCTAGTAAATGTTAGAGGTGACATTTGAACCCAAGTCTGCTTGACTCTAAACCCAGTGCTCTATGAGCTACATCACATTGCCTCTGAAAATTAAACAATGTTGCACCATTCAGTAGGAAGCAGGGCAAATTTTAAAATATTTTGTCCATAGTTTTTCACTGTAGCATAAATGACATTTCCTTTCCTTTTCTTTTCTTTTCTTTTTTTTTCTTTTCTTTTCTTTTCTTTTCTTTTCTTTTCTTTTTTTTCTTTTCTTTTCTTTTCTTTTCTTTTCTTTTCTTTTCTTTTCTTTCTTTCTTTCTTTCTTTTTTTTTTTTTTGACAGAACAGAGATCTCTTTGTACTCACCTATGGAGCTCTGGTGGCCCAGTTGTGCAAAGACTATGAAAAGGATGAAGATGTGAATAACTATCTAGATAAAATGTAAGTGGAGGATTCTCCTGCATTGTATATTAATTATTGGTTTCTCTTGCCTATTTAAAAAAAATAGATTTACCGATTCTTTTCTAAGACTTTAATTTCTATGACCTTCTTCTTAAAGTAGGAAAAGCAAGATTCGCAAAGCCATCATTTGTGTTGCTGACAGAAGTCATTTCTTTCCCCAATTTATCTTCCTAGTGTCTATCCACAAACACAATAACATAAAATGTTGTTTTATCACCCAAATATTTATAGCAAATTGAATTTTGATTCAACCACAAAAAGGTTAGGAGTTAACTACAGGTAGATATAATGTCAGGTTAGGTAGAGAACTCAAACTCTGGCTAAGTATTACAAATTTTTCTTAGCTTGGGGCTTGGAGCAATTGTGACTAAGTGAGGAACTTTTTATTTAAAATAAATTCCCCTGGGGCAGCTAGGTGGTACAGTGGATGGGGTTCCAGCCTAGGAGTCAGGAGGACCTGAGTTCAAATCTCACCTCAGACACTTGACACTTAACTAGCTGTGTGACCCTGGGCAAGTCACTCAACCCTGATTACCTTACCAAAAAGCAAAAATAAATAAATAAATTCCTTAAAGCTGACAAGAAGAAAATTTAGTGGCTATTGGGAGCCATTATAATTCTCATAGACTTAGTACAAGCTAATTATTGTAATAGTATGTTATAATTTTTTCAGGAAAAAAAATTGATAAAAAGAGAGACTGAAACATCATTTTTCTGAATCATTGAGTCTTTCCCTGAAAATATACTTATCTGTATATTTTCAGTCTTTTTTCTTATTTAAGAAGCTATTTTTATTTTTCCAGATTGATCTTATTCACAGTTTTTTGGATTGTATCCTTAACTGGACATGCATATCCCTAGAAGAAACAAAAAGCACAGCTAATGAGATTTGGCAGAGGAAGAGTGGATAAGAACTATAATTGCATCAATTTATTGAATTCCCGGTATGGAAACTCTCCCCCAAGACAATTTGGCAACACAGTAGTAGAGAGTTGACTGGGAAACTGAAAGCTAAATAAATTTGTCCATGATCACATAGTGGAAATGTATAAGATGTAGGATTTGAACCCAGGCCTTTCTGACTCCAAGGCTGGCCCTCTGTTATGCTGAGCTGCCTCTTTTGGTGTTGAGAAGTAGGGACCTTAAGTTAGTTCTTCATTTACCCTTATCATAACACTAATTATCTAAGTTAGTTCTTCATAACACTAATTATCTTCTAAGGATTCAAAAAAATGGACACAACAAAAATCACATAAATTTCACTCATCTAGCTTGTTTTACTTTTCTGAATTAACAATCTTGCATTAAACTTGCATTCTTTTTTTTTAGAACTAAAGCTATAAATGATATCACTATTAGTAGTTATAATAACTAACATTTGAAGATTTGTGAAGAATATTACATATGATATCTCATTAACTTAACGGATAGAATATCCTTATTTTACTCTCATTCTGAAGGGTGGATAAAATAGTCAATAGGGTAGCGAATAATACTGAGATTAACTCTATTTCAAGGCTTCCTGATGAATTCATGTAATCATGCTTGAATGCCATAAAAATGCTCTTGATAAGCAGGTATCTGTCCTGTGCTTTGAGTTAACAATCCAGGAAAGGGGCAGCTAGGTGGTGCAGTGGACAGAGCATTGGGCTTGGAATCAGGAAGACATGAGTTCAAATACAGCCTCAGACACTTACTAGCTGTGTGACCCTGGGCAAGTCACTTAATCCTGTTTGCCTCAGTTTCCTCATTTGTAGAATGAGCTGGAGAAGAGAAACCACTCTAGTATCTTTGCCAAGAAAACCCCAAATGGGGCCATGAAGAATCGGATATGATTGAAACAACTGAGCAACAGCAACCTAGGAAAATGTACATTTACACAATGTGTACGCCAGGCACAGCCAGATGACCACATTTCTCAAACACAATTAACAACATTCTAAATGACCAGATATTGCTTTTGACATTCACCCATATTTCCTTCATCTCATTCACAGGGGTTATGGCATAGGAATACGACTTGTGGAAGACTTTTTGGCTCGTTCTTGTGTGAAAAAATGCCATAGCTACTCAGAAATTGCTGACCTAATTGCACAGGTAAATACTCTTCAGTTCTGTCACACATATTTTCATAGTCTTTAATTCTGTGACTGCATTTAATAGCTTTGAAAAAATCATATAAATTTTGTTTGGATGGGACTTTAGAGGTCATCTAGTCCAACCGATACCTCTTTAAGCCTGAGTCTCCTCTACAACATCCCCAACGAGCAGTCATCCAACCTTCATGTGAAAACTTTCATTGATGAAGAATGGCACCTTCTTAGAAGCCGCTTTATGAAAAATGAGCTTATTGTTGTTACATGCACTTAGAAAAATCTGTGCTAACCTGAAAGGTCTGCTTAGCTGAATTGCCTTTAAGTCCAACATCTGAAATAACCGTTTAAGTGTGGAATGTTTATAAACAAGCCAAGAAATGATGGTTGAATAAGAAGCTGCTATACTGCATATCTTAGTTCTGTCTATCAGCCAGATAAAGCAATTCACTTTATAAATATACCACTCTTGCAGCCCTGTCTTATTACTGTCTTGGTCCAAGATGTTAGGGTCATATCACCAAACATATTTTGTATATGGTTGGAAAACGTAGATGTAACTGTATTCCTTTACCTTAATATCTCTATGCCATAGTTAAAAAAAAACCTAGGTCAATTGTTTTAGAAATAATATATACTTATGCATTTATATTTGTGTGTACACAGAGTATTCTGAAAGTCTCAGTGTTATTTTAATCTATTAAAACTTATAGATAAAGATATATGTGTGTGTAACAGCTCATGTTTGTATGACATTTTAAAATTTGCAAAGTGCTTTACATTATCTTAGTCTCACAGTAACCCTCTGAGGTAGGTTCTATGGCTACTATTATCCCTAGTTTACAGATAAGGAAAACGAGTTTCAGGTTAAATAACTTTCACATTGTCACATAATTATTGTCAAAAGCAGGATTTAAACCCAGGTTTTCCTGACTATAGACTGAGCACTCTATTTGCTATCTCGATATTGAATGAACAGTTTATTCTAGAGTTGGAAGCATATTGAACCTTGAATAAGATCACAAAAAAAAAAGAAATTTATTATAATCTAATGGACCAGAAATTGCTGATTACTGATGTGGCAATCATTTACAAATCAGCTGCCTGTGCACATTCAGCCCACAAGTTTGTTAGAGAAATGATCAAAATCAAAACCAAATTAGAAGAAAGGATAAAAGTCAGAAGATACCGTATGCAACTGAAGTAATTCTAACCTAACCTATTTAAAACCCCAGTGTTGAAAAAAAAAGAGAGAGAAATGCATAAAAAAAATAGATGTTGACAGATTACCGCCATTTTCTAAGCAAGTCTAACTGACGTAAATCAGTTGTTGCCACAGGGGGCCCAGAAACTGCCTCAGCCAGCAAACATTTCATTTACACCCAGCACAGAGATGTAGGCTTCCCAGAGGAGTTTGTACTTTCACCGAGGATATCTAGTACAGAGTTCAAGTGGAAGAGGAACTTTGTACAGATGATGCTTTTGCTTGCAGATCACGTTGTGCTTATTTTAACATTACAGAGACTACATAGATCACTAGCTGCTCAAAAGAGTTCAGTTAATAAAAATATAAAACAAAACAAAAAGATGAAGAAAGATTCTTGTCTAGACTATGATATTTTAGTTTATGGGACAACCCATGGTCCATCAGCATTTCTACCTTGGGCAGACATTGAGGATGGACAATAAATAAGGAATCCAGTGGGATGGATTGTGTGTAGGAAATTGTGCAATGCTTTTAATGACCCCAAGCATCTCCCTGAAGCAAAGGCTAATCCTTTTAACAACCTTATTCTTCTCCTGGTACTATATAACCATGAGTCACAGAATACCATAGCTTATGAAGAATTCTCTTTGCAGGTCACCCAAGGGGCAATGGGCAGTGTGGGTAGGCCATAACAGATTAACAACAAAGAATGGCCTCAGAAAAGTAATGTAAAGGATATCATCAGAGAAGTAAGTGAGGTGGGCAGGTCATGTAGCGAGAGTGAAGAATAACTAGGGGATATCCTACCTGCTACACTAGTATCCATATGATATCAAAACTAAAGGAAGGCCTCTGATGTGTTGGGTGGACCACCTATGGAGGATCTATAAGAGGACATATATAAGAGTTACTCAGGATGAGAAGGTGAGATTGAGATCTCCATCACTTGGGAGAGTACCACATCAGTGAGAGCACAGATCCATCAAAATACAAGAGTATAGTGATCATAGCTCAGCTATTTTTCAATGTATATTGGATACAATAGATACGTTGGCTCTCTTAGTAGATAACATTATTGATAACCCCCGGGAAATCATTCTGGTTCATTCCATTTTCAAGTAGTACTCAGTGTGTTTGTTTTACCATAGAAGCACTCACTGTTGTTGGCCATATCCATAAGTCACACACACTTTCAGCTTAAGAGCCAGTCATTCAGTGATTGACCAAAATTAACTTCAAAATAATCTTGTTCATTGTCTTATTTAACTGAGTCAGGTAATACTGATAGCTGGCATAGCATTAAATTAAAAATAATGCAACCAAAGGAAAAACAGGTTTATAGATCTTTGTGCCAGTGGAATTTTAAATTACAATTTATAGGTTCATGGACTTTAGAACTACAAGGGATTTTAGAGATCACCTCGTGCCCTCCTCTCATTCAGAGGTCCAAGAAGATGAAGTTATTTAACTGAATTAAGTCGTATAATACATAGCAGAGTGATTTTTATTTTTGTTATTCTAAACTTGAAGGATGCTATCATGAACATTTCTGTATAAAAAGAACAGAAAGAGGGCTGCATATATGAAACCATGAATCTCTTATCAAAAAGATCTTGCTTTTTAAAAACATATAATAAATTCAACATGTTAGTTTCAAAGCTGTCCTGATTGTCTAAACTTCTCTCTGTTCTTTTCTATATGTGTTTTTTTAAATGGTTTAATGACCTTTTTCCCTTCTTTTGACATTGCTACCAATCTCCCGTTTACCAAAGTTAAAATTATAAACCCCAAACTAAGCATAAAATATTATATGCCTTTATCTCACATATATGCATTTATCTATCTATCTATATCTCTATCTATCTATCTATCTATCTATCTATCTATCTATCTATCTATTTATCTATCTATCTCTCTCTCTCTCTCTCTATCTATCTATCTATCTATCTACATATGTGGTTAATGAGTATGCAATATAATACATCATACCATTTGCAGCTCATACCTCCTTGAAATTTAAGATTCCTAAGAACAATTATATATTCTTTATGCTATCCAGCACTCTGGGGAGCCAATGAAATAGCTTTTCCCAGTAGCTTAGTTACACAAAGGTTTTTTTTTTGGTTTTGTTTTGATAACTAGGCTAAAAGAAGAGAAGGATGGTTATGGACTTAGTAATCTTTTTCATGAAGAAATAATTTATAGAAAGTGATGAGAAGATATTTTTCCATCTAGTGCAAGAGAAATGTACTTCAATTTCAGTATGAAGGATGCATATAAATTATCCAACAATAGTTGCTAATTTGGTGTATCCTGCTTCAATTAAATTCAACAAGTCTTTGTTAGACACTTACTATGTCACTGAATGACTGGCTCTTAAGCTGAAAGTGTGTGTGACTTATGGATATGGCCAACAACAGTGAGTGCTTCTATGGTAAATCAAACACACTGAGTACTACTTGAAAATGGAATGAACCAGAATGATTTCCCGGGCATTGTGTTAGGATCTGGGGTTTTAAAGACAATCCCTGTCCTCAAAGAGCTTACATACCACTGAATGGAAGTGGGAGTGTGAGGAATGGTACATAGAAGGCACTTAATAAATGCTTGTTAATTGATTAATAGATATATATATATATGTACACAGGAATACTAAATGCATGCAAAGTAATTCAGAGTGTGGAGGAAAATACTTGTGATTATGGGAGAAGGGAATCAGGAAAATTCTTTTATAGGAGGTGAGGTTTGGTGTGAGCTAGAGATTCTAAGAAGCAAAGTAAAAGCAAAAGCAGGTAGTATCTTCCTGGTCTAGGGGGACAGACACTGAAAAAGCACAGAGTCAGAACACAGAATATTTTTTACATCCATACTCATTAAGTATATTAGTCTGAAGCTTTTCCTCTCTTCCTCCATCCCTGATTGGGGCAACAGGACTGCATTTGGGGGAGATGTGTGGATTTTCTCTGGGGGCACTTTTTTCCTGTATTTGTAAGTTCTAGGCAGTTTTCTTGTATTATTTCTTGGTGTTCAGGCTTTTTAAATTGAATTGTCATGTTCTTCTGGGATGGTTTTTAAGTTGTTTCTTTGCTTCCTGTCTTTGATATCTTGTGTTTTGCTTATGTAAAGATCATGTTTTCTTTCAAAATAATTGCTTTTTGTTTCTTTTCTTCCAGATGGTCCTTTACTTCTATATATTTGTATTTCCAATTAACTATTCTCTCTTTCACATCTTTGTAGAGACTTAACACTGGATTCAAGCTGTTTCATTTCTGCTATGCAGGCCTTAAATTTTGCTTTCATGATTCTTTTTTCTCCCTTAAATGATTAAGGGACATCCTGCTGCTGTTCCATGACTTTTTTGGAATCCTGGGTGTCCTTTGTCTCTCTGCATCATTACTTGTTGATTTAATTTCCTTTGTCTTGCAATATTTACTTAGAGATATTTGGACTTATTTAGATGTATTGCTGAGCATCTTCCCTTCTGTTTTAATCCCTTCCCTGTTGATTTATCTGATTGCACTTAAGTTTTATAACTGAGTTTTCTTCCTCCTGACATCTTTGTCAATTTGTCTTTTTTCCTTATATTGCCCTACCACTCACTTTTTGATTCCTCCTGCTCTGATAGTGGATTTCCCAAGGTCTAGACCACAAAATTTCCCTTGTTGGGAAATTCACTTTTCATTGGCCTCAGGCCCTGTCCTAAGTGGCTTTTGCGGTATAGGGGACAGAACTGGCTCCATTTAGATGCCAATCTCATTTCCTTCAGATCTGGTACAGGCCTCTCTCCCTCCCAGACA